ATGGCAATACCAATTGTAAACTTAATGTGTTAAAAATAATAACCCAAAACCGGTCCAAATTCTTCCTTTATCCCCCCCCCCCCCCCCCCGGCCCCCTTCCCCTTTCTCCGCCACACAGTCACCTACCCTCACTCAAGTACCCCACCCTCACACGCAACATTTCACACTATCGCTTTCAACTTTCACCTTCCAATATTACATCTCTCTTTCATTCACACATTCACACAATTTCAAATATTTTTTCACACCTCTCTGTCATTCATACAATTTCAATTTCTAATCGTCTATTACTGACGATTGCGCTCATATCATATTCCATTTCCAACAAGAACACATCCATGTCTATAATTTATTCTATTCTTACAGACGAAGGTATTAGTTGACTTAGTTGACGAGTGAACGTCCATTCAACAGATGTTTGATGTTTGAATTGTATTAATTACTCTTCTGTTTTGAAGCACTTGAATGATCGTCGGAAGAATCGCCTAATAGATTTTACAGCTCGTCTTTTCGGTTTAACTGCTTGAACTGAAAAAAGAGAAATAGATAAATAAAATAATATAATATTTAAAACCATACGAAATATTAAACGGTAACCAAAAAACACGATTGGTACCCTCCTCTCCGATTTTATTTACAACTGAGTAATTAACAGATACCTTCTGATTTCAAATCAGGTGTACTGGTACAAATGTAAGTAAGTCACAATGTCTCGTGACCAAGGAACAGCTAGACAACTAGATAGCTAGACAGCTTGGTTCTAGAAATCCAAAAAAATAAGAATTCAGACACTATGACACCTTACCTTCCTGATCACAAGTAGCAACATCGTCAGTCTGTGTAGCTTTGTTTTCTGTTTTAACAACTCTTCTGGTAGATTGTTGAGGAGTTGGTGTGATAGATTTTACTAAGCAGTCCAAATTATCTCCAGTTTCACCATGGATGTCAAACTTGATATCTGATATTTTATCTACAATAGAATAGATTAAATAAGATGCTAGTTATCTAAATTGGGTGTCATTTTTAAAAAAGATCATAATATCAGAATTCAACTTTGTATGTTTTCAGCTGAATGAGACTACTTTTGATCCATGTATCATCGCTTGTCTTACCTTCATATTTGGTGACCTTTGAAATGCCTGTAAACTGCAGGAATCTTTGAAATAAACCAGCACCTTCTTCTACTGGTTTGAGGATTGTTTTTTCTTCAAGAAATCCAAAGAACTCTCGTTCATAATACTGGTATTCCTCCACTGTCATGGGCGGAGTGGAATAATCAGGAATCTCACCAAAACAATATGGTGGACGGGACATGTATTTCTTGGACATCCTGGAAAAAAAAAATAACTTTAGATTTTACTATTTTTAGATTTTACTCTAACCATTTCTGTCAATACAAGATAACTTTCCTGCGGTTTTAATATTTTTTTTTTTTTGGAAACGCCAAAATATGTTATATCAGTAAACTGTTATCCATGAATTATAGATATTCAATTACTAACTTGCCAAACGATGAACCTACACCAAGTGACATGGCCGAATCATTTCAATTGAAATTCAAACTAATAAAAAAGAAATCGGGAAAATTCTCCCAAAATCGATTTTGATTTCAAGTGACTTAAAATGATATTTTGTACCCTAAAATTTACAAATTAGATTGTATAATATATTTGGGAGACTGATGAGACTGTTTTCCTTTTTAAAATATTCAGTTTGTAAAATTATCTCACCTTAAAATTCAGAAAAATCCTCAAAAAATCGCAGAGAAACTTGTAAGCACGTCTTTTCAACAATGGAAAATATGTCGCTTGTGACGTCATACTATTATATTATGTATTTTAATTATAACGTCATAAAAAAGACAAATTATTCTATTTAAAAGGGTTCCTCCCTCACAAATTTAATCCATTTCAACGATTTTTAAGATGTTTTAAAATCTGAGAATGATTCTCGTGTTCCCAGATTGAATCATCAGCTTGAAATCTTAAGTCGAAACATACAAGTATCCCTTTAAAATACATAAAGTCCAAACTTTCTTTAAAAATGTTTTTATACTCAAGATTCAAAACAATTTGAAGGACAATAAATATTTATCACAACAAATAAAAAATTTGTAACGATTCAAAATGTTCTGGTTGTAGACTTCAAGTCGATCTCGCCAATGACGTTAGATAGCCTACCTAAATTGTAAAGACCATCGAGAGTTGCCGTATATTTCTAGATTTGGCAACAACAGAAATTTTAATTTGATTGGCAGGTCGTCGTGATAAATTTGGTCAATCATAAGAAATATTGGATCGCAAAAGGGTTCATGCAGCAAACTGATATGCGATACCACTTAAATTTAACCTTGCTTGAACTTAACTTACTTGATATGAAACTACATCTTTTCAGCTTCAATTTCATGGTGTTTTTCTGTTGATAGCTATGTATTTATTGTTGTTTCACGATGTATAATCTTACTGGCATTATCTTGATATATAAACTTACTGTCATTATCTTGATATATAGACTTACTGTCATTATCATGATATAAACTTAGTATCACTATCACGATATATAAACTTACTGTCATTATCACAATATATATACTTAGTGTCATTATCATGATGTATAATCTTACTGGCATTATCATGACATATGAACTTACTGCCATTATCTTGATATATAAACTTACTGTCATTATCTTGATATATAAAACTTACTGTCATTATCATGATATAAACTTAGTATCACTATCACGATATATAAACTTACTGTCATTATCACAATATATATACTTAGTGTCATTATCATGATATATAAACTTCCTGTCATTATCATGATATAAACTTCCTGTCATTATCATGATATATAAACTTAGTCATTATCACAATATATATATACTTAGTGTCATTGTCATGATATATAAACTTAGTCATTATCACAATATATATACTTAGTGTCATTATCATGATGTATAAACTTCCTGTCATTATCATGATATATAGACTTACTGTCATTATCATGATATATAAACTTACTGTCATTATCATGATATATAAACTTACTGTCATTATCATGATATATAGACTTACTGTCATTATCATGATATATAAACCTACTGTCATTATCATGATATATAAACTTACTGTCATTATCATGATATATAGACTTACTGTCATTATCACAATATAAACTCACTGTCGTTGTCACGATACATAAACTTACATTTATTATTACTTTTATATAACTTATGATGTTCTCTGGTCAAGGAATTCACATAGGGATCTTTCGTACTCAATGGCCAATAGGCCAGGGTCTAATTCCAAATATTCCCTTCTTTCTACTCCCCTTGTATATTTTATATATTGCTCTAAAACTCTATTGTGTTGGCCAATTTTTACATCTTTTGGGTAAATCAATGGCAATAACTTAACATTCTTTCATTCAAATATTGTGAGAATCAAACTCATCCGACAGCGGTAATGACAATATATTGTGACATTATAATGTCATAATAATAACAAAAGAGATAAAAGAATAAAATTTATTATGTTATTATTAAAATCTTCAACAAATTACAGCATAACAGAACAAAGAGTTTTTTCCACAAGTATATTGGAAAGCAAGAAGATAATGCATTTAAGAAATATGGGGAATGCTTCTTCAACCAATTTGCCGAAATTACACAAAAATTTCATGTTAAAAGTGGGAACAGACGAGGTATGGTGTCTGGTGCGGTGTGCAGTGTGGGGACTAACAATACAGTAGAAAATAGTAGAAGCGAATAGTGTCCACACCGTGTCCTTGTGTGTTCACTTCTTCTATTTTCCTTTGTATTGATCATTCCACATCGTACACTGGACCAGACACTGTCCATTTGAGGGTTTATACGGTAATTTTACGGAAGAGGTCTGCAATTGAACCATTCTCCATACAAGCATCTTGCATTTTAGCCTATTCTTCCCTTGTAGATCAGGTTGTTCACTGATTGTCTGCTCAGAAAAAAAACAGGCATCACCATACTCGGGGCTATGTTCCAGAGAGTGGCCACTCCTGTTCTGTCAGCTTACAGCTTAACTTCTGGGTTCTATATTCCAGAGACTTGTCCCCCATCAGCCTATTGAATTACCAATGTCTGGGTTATATTCCATTGAATGATCCATTGTTGTAATATTGTCAGTTTACAGAAACATCTTCCAACCCTGTTAATATTTCATAGGAAGGTCCACTGTTAATCCAATGAGGAGGTTTCCACCGGTATACCATCAATTTGACAGCGTGAGTATACATCGCCTGTACGAGTTGTATTTGAAGGAGTGATCCTTTGGCCCACTATTGAGCTTGAATTTATTAGTATTGTGATTTAGATAGTGGTTTAGCTACCATCACACCCAGTTTAATCTTGATTGTTTAAAGTTTTGAATTCTTTTTCTCTCTTAGCGAAGGATTGAGCCACCATTAGAGGAAAGATCAAACTGGCTTCACCATATACCTGTTAATTTAAAAAGAATGATGAAGTTTGTGTTTCTAATGGCATTTTGAAGAATAAATAATATAAACAAAGTCTGAAATAGGACCTTTATTTAACTGGACACATTACGTGTGATTGAAATATTGCTAATGTGTAGAAATTAAAAAATGGTGACACAAAACTTATGTTGATTTATATAGTAACTTAAACATGATATCTGGCCATTGATACACATTTTGTCCCTTTTTCATCAAGAAACCAAGAAACATACAGTTCTATAAGATAAAGCAAAATAAGTTTTTACCTTCACTGGTCTGGCATCTTTTTTAATTTTACCCCATGATATAGCTTCATCAGGTCGAGCTCCAGAATCACTGCCATCAAACTCTGATGCTGTATTCACAAATACAGAAAAATCAGCTCCATTTCTCTAAGAAAGGAATTGTAAGAAATTAACACAAATGAATCGATACAAAATTTCAATAGATGTGGTTTCTACTGACAGCTATGCTAGATAACTCAGAATCATACACAGCATCCAAACCATATACTGGTACTGTTCTAACATATCAATAGAATAATGATATTTCTTGTTTGAGGAGTCCACTGCTATACATTTATTCCTTCTGATTTTGTCATACTTTGGACGAGATTTTTTGTTTAACAAAATTGTTTTACTTGTACAGGTTTTTGTCATTCAATTCTATACTAAAGTATCATTATATAATGGTATATAGATGTATAAATCTGTATTTAAATGGTAAAAGAGGACCTCTATTGAGTTATCTAAATAGAGAAATAGAGTCCAGGGTGTTTACACTTACCATTAAATTGGCATTACAAGTATGATGTTTGACAACTCCACCACCTAATATTATCATACCAGTATTAACAGCATGGACAGCCTGACTGTTAACACCTCGTATATCTATAATATAGAAAGGTAGTTAAAAGGGGTGGGGTCATAAATGGTTTTCATAATAAGTTGGATACATTGTAATAACGACAGTTATTGTGATACCAATTGGATTAAGTGTATAATTAGAGTAAAAATTGCACTGTCAGAATATGTGATAAATATGTGCTCCTCGCTTCTATATGTCGTTCAAATCTTATATGTGATAAAGATATGATACATTGTGATAATAAAAGCATAAATCATTTCAGTATATACCATGATAATGACAGTATTATATCATTATATTATTACATACATTAAGTAATTTCGCGGCATATATCATTATAGGAGGTTTCAAGCGGTCACCCACGATATATCATTATATTATCATATACATTATTAGTATTACAGTTTATCATGATAATAGCAGTATATGATGGCAGTGTATATCATTAAAAGGACTATATAAATTGTGAATATATTGTGATAAAGACAGTCTATATCATGATAATAACAGTATATTCAATGATAATGACAGTAAAACGACAGTATATATGATATTGGCATTAAATATTGTGATAAAGACAGTCTATATCATGATAATGACAGTATACATAAGCATGACAATAAATACCGATAATGACAATACTATTACCTTGTACTAAATCTATAACTAGTCCAGGGTTTTTGTAGGAGTGGAAGTAAATCATATCACCTAAAGAACCATCAGTTATAGCTGGACTATATACTGGTATATCATTCTACAAAATAAACATCATATAGAATATAATTTGGATGGAGATGATAAGTTTTTCCAAAATTTATGTAAGTGGAGGGCGTTTTCTCTTAAAATTTCTTTGAGGGTCAACCTTCAACCTTACCCTTAGATATCTACCCTCTAGTAAGCACAACAATAAAATGACATCAATAATTTTTAATCTTTCAATTAGCCAAAAATGTTTGTGACTATCTCTAACTGGCACACTGAAAGTGAAACATACCTTATATGCCCAGTAATAAACTGAATCTTCATGGTTAATTTCTTTACCTAGTCTAGCTATTAATCGAGAGGGTGTCCATAATGTTCCCTGAAACAACAATAAATACATAGCTATCAAAAGACAAGTTCAGTTAAAAATTACACTGAAATTTTTTCCAATATCATTCCTTTCTATCTTGAATATTCCAAATAGGAATTGGAATGTATTTTGACAACTTTTAGACTTTGTCGATTGTTGTTTAGATTTATACATATCAGTTTTATCCTTATGATTTTATTCATACTGATGCAGCACATTTTAGATGATTTTCACCTGTTCTTTTTGTTCTAGTAACATCTGATCTAATATAGGCATTAACCAGTCTTCAAATTTACAGTAGTTTTCATTGGGTACTAATAGGTTTCCTATTCGATTAATTCCCTTTGATCGTAACTCTCTACCAGGGAGGCTAAAATCTCCTATATAGGTTTCTGCCATACATTTAATAAAATCTTCTTCAATGCCACCAGCAGTAGTTACAATACAATCTACCTGAAACCACAAGAGACAAAACAAATCTTAAGCAAAATGTTCTTGTCAAATTTTTGAGCGACTGGGACCAAGAGTTTTAAAAGTGTCTGTCACTTATCATAACAAAATTTTGTATAGACAAACCCTTTACAGACGACTAGATCCCTTCAACAGATGAGGGGAAATGTAATAACTGAAATACTAGAAAGTTAATATCTACCAGAGGAGCAGGACATGTACATTATCAAGAAGGCTGATTGGCTGATTTTATTGCAGTGATAATACATCGACCAATTAGATTCCTTGAAGCTAATTAAGTACATACACAAGACTGGGACCACAAACATCAGTATACTTAAACTGGAGTGGAAATCATCACTTCTGTCCTGTTAAACAGCAGATAAATCAGATGCAAGATTGTCATCTAAGATTGATCAGCATGGAAAACAAATGTTTCCTCTTGAACTTCTCAAAATACTTTTACAAGACATTACTACAGCTTCCGTACTACATTTTTTCCTTATATTCCAGATGAGCCAGACGCAAAATTGTCATTAAATCGCTGCATTTACAAACTTCTGTGGTGCAAGAAGAGTGTATAATGATGTCAAGGTATTAGATTAAATTTACCATACCTTGAGAATGAAAAGAACAAATTAAACCTACCATATTATGTTGTACAATATATCTAAGAACCTCTCGTACCCCGGCTGATATCAAATTAGATGTATAACTTAAAAATATCGTACAATTTGATTTCTTTCTCTGTGTAGAGTCAACATTGTTATCTTTTTTATCATTTGGAACTGGCTTCATCTTCATGTCAATCTGAAACCATCAAGAAATTAACTAGGATTATCATTAAAGAATGTTATGTGCAAATGTGAATATCATATTTGTGTTTCACTACTGTTGTGTCTTTTCAAAATATAACTACAGACAAAACATTTTTTGAAAACTGTGTTATGAAAGCTGACTGAATATGGAACCAATAGAAATAGTTGTAAATCTTTTATCGTTTTGTTACAAATTCTGCTTTTACTAAACCAAAAAATAGTACAAAAACTGAATACATCCAACCTTGATAAAACGGTACAATTTTGTTATAATACTGAATGGGGTTTGTCATTTCACTGCGATGGCTGAAGTAGTCTCTGAAAATTATTTAAGGATAAATATTTAATGAAAAAGGGCTCTAACCATTTTGTTAACTTCTTCCACAGCTAAACCAAAATTTGTAGCTTGAAAGCCAGATCTTGTGTAGCTGTTTAATAACTTTTCAAAGTTGACACCATTGTTAAAGTCATATCCTCTGACTGTCTCTGTTCCTTCGGGCATAGGCTGACTTTCTACTAACACAGCATTGGTTGCTATAGATGGTGGAACATCTGCCATTTTGAATTTTTATTGCAGTGGAACTTTGTTCAAATCTGAAGTAAGACAAATTGATATATAAGAAACATTACAATGAATGAAAGAATTTCCCATCTGTAGTTTTACTTGAGTACCTGTATTGCATGGCATGAGACATTCTATCATTTAGTTTTTACTCACTGAGTCTAAGGTGGTTACTTTCTGAGTCTAACTTACTGAGTCTTAGCTGAGACACACTCAGTTATTGAGTCTGCCTCGGTTAGTGGTTACTCTCTGAGACTAACTCAGTTACCGAGTCTCTCTGTAACTGTCAGTGGTTACTCACTGAGTCTCACTCGGTCACCAAGTTCATCTCATTTAGAGGTTAATCACTGATTCTGTCACCTAGTCTGTCTCAGACTCTCAGTTAGTGGTTACTACCGAGTCTCACTCGGTCACCAAGTCTGTCTCAGTAAGTGGTTACTCACTTAGTCTCATTCACATAGTTAACAAGTGGCTCAGTACTCTCAGTGATTACTCACTGATTCATACACTCAGTCTCGCTGTCTCAGTTAGTGGTTACTCACTAAGGCTCACTCAGTCACCAAGTCTGTCTCAGTAAGTGGTTATTCACTTAGTCTCATTCACATAGTTAACGAGTGGCTCAGTACTCTCAGTGATTACTCACTGATTCATACACTCAGTCTCGCTGTCTCAGTTAGTGGTTACTCACTAAGGCACACTCAGTCACAGAGTTTGTCTCAGTACTAGTAGGAGGCTGTGGAGTAGTTACTCCCCCTATCCCTGATGGGTGAGCCTCTTCCCCTGGCCCTTCTCATCACGCTGCAAAAATATGGTTTATTGACACCTAAATGAGATAAGAAATTTAAAATACCTGTGCCCTGTTCCTTCTATGATCAGTTTTCAGTCAATCGCAGATGATTCGATATACCGGTAATTTCACAACTCTTTGAAAGCATGTTTTTATTTCACAAATTTCGGGTCATTGCTAAATACACCTAAAACAGGGTCAAGGAAGCTGTCATTATTATGATTGACAGGTCATATGATGCCAGATGCTTGTATATCATTGCCTTGGTGGGTTTGGTCTAAAATGGATTCTCGGTTCAAGCCCCGCCTTAAATACATTCCTACATGTATGTGAATATGTTAAAAAGTTACAACCATGTTTTGTTTATGGTGAACGCACATGTTAATTATTAAATTTCGTCACTTTTTTAGATGGTTTTTCATGGCACCAGTCTGATGTTAAATATTTTACTATATGAAATAAAATTGAAAAAAAAAGAAATCCATTACCTGTTGTTTTGAAAGTCATCATTTTGGTTAGAGGCTAATCAGGCTCTCAATCCGGATTAAGATTCTGTGTCTGGTTTTTCCAGTTATTTTAGGCTTCAATGATTTCAATGTATTTCTGTCTGGATAATCAAACATAACCGGATTAGGAATTGTCGACAAGAAACTCGTCCTGTGTAACCAAAAAACAAACATGTCGGTGGACGGAATACTCGACGAAAATGAGAGAAAAGTCGTCAATGAATTTTGTCATTTATTGGAAAAATCGAAGCAACTGTTCAATGGCTTGAGGTAATATTTTTTATTTCGATTTTATTCTCGACTTTTGCTGATTTCTATGAGTAATGGATGAAAAGCTATTACCATCATTCCAAAACTGACAACTTGCAGTCTGTCTGATTAAATCCACCATCTGTCAAATTTTAGTAACTACATGTTACATGTTTGGTTGGAGGCTACATTGGCTACTACAGGCAATTATAGACTGATAGACAAAAGTAGGATTGATCTGATTAGTCTAAAACTGTAGTATTCCCTCTATATGCCTGTTATTTTATTCCAGACAAACACAAAGTTGTAGGCTTATTAAATAGTATTCTATGTTTACCCTACTACATGCACAAAACAAATACCTTACACTTCATGCCTAATTTATTATTTATACTTTATAGTTGATTCTTATTATTAGATCATAGATCTACATACATTATAAATAGGATTAGGGTATCTTAAAGGAGCGAACAAGGAATATCAACAAGTTAGTCTAGAGCTATTCCCTTTGACCTAAAGAAGGTCCATTGACAATGTGTGAGTCATAGAGGCATAGAACAGAGAGGTTGAGATCAAAGGCCCACAAGTACCCATAGCTTTTCATTCAAACAGCAAACTGTTGATTTGGCCTAAAAAGATATAATGAATGCGATTATTAAAATACCCTACTTCTCTTGGCTAGTTATGTAATCTGCTCTTTCTTTTCGATAGAGATCTACCTCAATATGGGCACAAACAATGGCAGTCTTACTTTGGGAGAACATTTGATGTTTATACTAAATTATGGAAATTTCAACAACAGCATCGGTTAGTATTGTATCAGATATAACATGATTAGGTATTAAGATTAAATGAAAATCTGATTAAGCTGATTCGTAAGCACTTTTCAAAGACATGTGTCCATGTAGCTTTGCAATTTTCTTTCGTCAGAATATGATCGGACTATATAAATGGACAGATGCCCCATTTTTTGACCAATCATACTTTAGTTTCAGAAACGGGATTTTTTTTAGCTAAGCCAATCAGTTATAGTGTTCACAGATCACAGTTTTTGTACATTTCTAGTACTGTTAAAGACTATTTACACACATTCAAGATTAAAATCAACCCCCCAAAATGGCACATCTGTCCCTTTAAATCTGTCACATTTTGACCAGTGTTAATCATATGTTGATACAAAATTGATTGATTTAAATGAATACATCATTCAGTAGCACAGAACTGATAAAAAGAGTGTTAATTTCTACTTTGATTGAAAAAACTTTATAAGCTTATGATATAATATGAAGCTTATATTTTCTCCAGGCAAATATTAGATACAAAATATGGGTTAAAAAGATGGCAGATAGGGGAGGTGGCCAGTAAGATAGGACAACTTTACTACCATTATTAGTAAGTATAGAGAATATTTAGTTATTTCATGCATTTAAATCTAAATGGGGCTGGCTGTCTGCTATAACTTTAAATCTTTGAATTATGACGTCACCAAACTGTGTGATACATGAAATCAAGATATCATATTCGACACAGAAGAGTAAGCTAATATCTCAGAACTTTTATCAAAAAATAAGCACCAATGGCTGTTAAAAAAGATAAGATCTTTTATTGTGTTCTGAAGTGAAAATATTCAGATAAATTCTTTTTACGGTTATTTTTTAAGTGAAAATATTTAGATAAATTCTTATTATGGCTATTTTTCAGTTTACGTACAAGTGAAACTAACTACTTAAGTGAATCATTTTCATTTTATTCTGCTATAAGAATGAGAGCTTATTACTCTAAAGCTACCAAAGAAGACAGGTAAATGTCTCTTGTCTTTATATTAGTAAGGGACCCTGTAGAAACATCCTTGCTCTTAATTGGACTTGGTCGCTTGACTTCTCATTCAGTTTACTAGCTCATAGAGCTATACATTAGCTTTTCTAGATCAGTAACACCACTTAATTTCTTTGATGAATTGTGATCTAAGTGATGAATCAGTTGAAATATCCCCTAGCTAAATTCTATAAATTTGGTGGGTTTTTTTAACAGTATTTTATTCACATGAAAATGCAAGGGACTTTGCCTATACTACCTGAAAACCATCAGATATACTTCAAATAGAAGGAGTTTTACATCCTACTCCATGACACCTTATCAAGGTTTAAAGAAAAACTGCTACAAAAATGAGATCAAAGACCCAATAATGCCAATCTAATGTAAAATGTTTCTTAAAATTCTGTAATTCATGTGAAATTGCATCACAAATATTTGAATCTAAGTAATATGTCACAGTACTTACCGGGTACACGGAATAATCTGGCGGGGGATTAAAACTATTTTATATACTGTATTTCAGTACTGTTCATGTCCAAATGTAAGTTAGTCAGATTCCTCTGAGCCCATATATATCATGTAATGCCTAATTTCTTCCCTAAATTATGCTTCATTTGATCATGGTGTATTGGAACTGCATGGTCTGATATAGGATTGAGGTGGATCAGCAGCTTTTTAGGGAATTGGTTTCAAATTTAAAACAGGAATTTTATGTTTTCGAAAACCTTAACATGATCGACTCTTGCTATTTCTCAAAAATTAGTTTTGCAAAATGAAAGTTGATCTTGAACAAATCCATTATTATTTAGATATAAATTTTCTTATTTCTGATTTTTCTGGAATATTTTTCTTTGTTCAGAAATCAGAATTAAAGGGATTGTAAAGAGGTGTTTCTGGGACACTGATAGCATCGATTTGCACCATTCCAATTTTCAATCAGACATCTATGCCATTCTGTGGTTCCTGCAGTTCCACACAAAATAAGTGTTTGATACTAATTGCAGGAACTGAAAATTGGAATTGTGAAAATTGATGCTATCAGTGTCTATGATAGTCAAAAGAAATTAATAATTGGACTGGGTGACATGCCCCTAGTAAAAGCTGCTGGTCTGAAACCTGGTATTATTTAGGTGTATTAATTTCTGGTGTTAGCTTTCAGTAACTTATTTATTGTTATGTTTTTAGTGGAACTGGGAATTATCTAAATTAAATTTATTAATTATTAACTATCTATTAATTGGTTTTAGAGTCGATGATTGGAAAATGAGTTTTATTTACAAATTGATAATGTAATAACCATCAGACGTTAACTTTGAGTGCTTATTGTATAAATTACATTGGTTAATGATAGAGTTTGTCCTTGAGAACTAAAATCATTATCTCCTTGGCCTTTGCTTTCGTAATTTCAATTATATAATGTTTTTACAAGCACTTTCACGGAGGATGAGGGCAATGAGGGCATTATGTATTTGGAAATGAATAAGAAATGCATTAAGCACTATCTCCAGAAAAGCAAGCTAATTTGCTTTTTCTAATGAAATTCCTGTATTTTATTAGCTTTCAAAGTAAAGGACTGAAATTGAGAAAAAATCATCATACTTTGGGGGAAACTAGCCTTTAAAATCACTTGTCAGAGCCTATAGAGAGTCAGAATGTCTGGGATAAATTTCAAAACACTAGCCTTGTATTCGCGAAACAAGCGTAGAAACAGTGTTAGAAGATAAAACTTTAAAACATCCTAGCGGTAAGATCATTTCGAGAATGCGCGGTCTATCTTTTTTTAAGGTGGTTTTACATAAAAGATACGATTGTTTTGGCAGTAATTACTGAAATATACATATTCTGGGTTCCTACAGCTATTTTTCTCAGTGGGTTTCATACTGCATCTGACTGATTGAAAAATAATTAACAATCAAGTAAATCAATGAGTTTAGATTAATACAGACTGTGATGTTTGAATGATTAATATTGTTATTATCTACAGGCCAGATTTAATGGTGAAGAAATTACGATATTATGCCAGGTTTATTGTGGTCTGTTTACTCTTAAAAAAGATGAAATTAGTTCGAGACTTAGTCAGGGTGAGTGAAAATAATTGAGGGTAAAATTCAGAATGAAAGTATAATACTCAGCCATATTGATTTAATATAAAGATCAAATTAAAGTTTCTAAGCACTGATTGTCTCTCAGTGTGAAAGAAACAGGGCCTTAGGGCAAATTTGTTTTCTTTCAGCCCTACCCATATTATCTTCAATTTAAAGATGAAATCGCAATACTTAATAAATGAGATACAATTGTATGATTATAATGTATTAATTGAACAATTATGCATATTTTTAAACACTTACTGGTCAAGAAAAATGTATTATTTAGCCTTCTTTATTAGAGAAGTCAGTCATGACTTTATTACTATATTTGTAAGATATTTATAACTTTATATATAACAGGAGCTAGCTAAACAAATAGATGACTATACCAGTACTTATGAACCTGAAGATCAGATGGAATGGAATCTAGTTCTGGGTGAAATAAAAGCATTTATAGAGGTAAATTATTGTGGTAAAATGAGGGCGTTATTTTTTGTCTTTTGGGAAATCGTTATAACAAGTCTTTCATTTGAATGGACAAATATACTTTAAATTTGGAGCTCTTATTCAATTGTAAATACAGTCAAATGAAGTCCCAAGTGTCTTCAAAGTTGTAATGTATAAAGATATATAGCTATTTTTGTTGCTGTGTGTGAAAATTCTACAAAACAAGTCCAAAGAATTTCTTATCACCACTATAGTGTCATGTTGGAGCTCCTATCCAACATAACTGGAAAAATACTGACAAATGAACTGCCCTACTGTCTCCCTAGTTTGAATGTTTTAAAATGGTATCATTTGTATTTACAGGCTGATAATATAATTAATGTGGTAGATGTTGACTCGACTACTATAGTATTATCACATAGATTAACTCCCCTGAATACACCACCAGCTGATAAAGGGGCACCTGTTTATTTATCTCTACAAGAAATATTAATAGTTGGTAACTGTCACGAACAGGTATGATATTAACTTATAATATATTACTATTTACATTAGATTATTTAATCAGTAAGCAATGAACACACTGTCATTACTAGTAAGAATACCTATGACATACTGCAAATAAAGTAATATATTACAGAACCAATGACTGTTCTTCAATATATCCAATCATCATGACCAAACTATCTGAATCAATATTTTTAATATGATCAGTAAAAGATAAGACAATGCTGGATGCTTATTAAGAGTACCTTGTGTAGATGCTATTAAATTTGGTGCTATATTTCAATGATGAATATAGATTCAGTATTATATTTGAGTATTATGATTGTAGGTGAAGTTCAGTGAATTAACATTAGATATGTTTAGAATGTTACAAACATTAGAGAGAGAACCACAAGAAGATTTAACTACTCAGATCTATGATGTTTCACCAGCTCCTGGTCGACAGTTATTTGTAAGTAGTGATACTTATTTTATAAACTTTTTCTTCTACAAAAGACCAATCAAAACTCCTGTTTGTGCTACCTTCGTCTTTATTTAATATCAGCGATTAACAAATAGCATAATTGATACCGATTGGAAAGTAGACTCATAAAAATAAAATGGATTTATTTATTATTTTAATGTTTGAATTAATTGTTTTTTTTTTTTAGGAAAATGGAGATCGCACACGAAGAGACAACCCCCATAAATACTTATTATATAAGCCTACTTATGGCCAGTTAAATACCTTTCTTGCCTCCGCTTTTAAAGAGTTGCCACCAAACGGTGCCATGTTATTATATATATCAGCTGATGGTTGCCTAGGAAATGCCAAACACACAGATGATGGTAAGATTTTTTCAAACAAGAACTCAGGAATATAGTTAAGATGTTCCAAAATATTGTAAATTTTCTCTTCAATAAGCTTATCATAATTTTGATTTTAAATTCTCTCATTATAAAGGCATCCTTGTTGAATCTTTCTATTTTGATTACTATTTTATCAAAAGGTTTGGTGTTTGTTTCACTTATAGAAGATTCTAAACAAACATTATTGCATGTCCAATTAAAAATTAACTTAGCAATGTATAGCCTTTTTTATTTCTGAATTTTTTTTCTTCCAGCTGCCTATGATTTAGGTGGAGTTGTAACTAACTCTAGAAGAGAAGGGGAAACACCTAGTAAAGGTAAACGCCCTGGTGTTCTTAAAGAAATGCACAGGTAAGTAACTCATTTAAGCAACTTTTTATTTATCAATTTTTTGATAAAGCCAGTTGCGGATGCATTAGTTGATATTTATGGGGTAAATAAACAAGATATACTGTCATAAATTAAAAAACTGTGTGACATATAACCAATGGGATAGCATACTAATATGAATTTTGATATTGATAACAGCGTGTCACTTATTGTAACATTGTATTGTTATTGTATTTTGAAAGGCTGTATAATTTCCTTTTTTCTCGAAATTTCAGTTTACATCCTGGTGATTTATATCCTTACACTCGGAAACCATTATTCCTTATAGTTGATAGTGATAACAGTTCAGCATTCCAGGTAAATCTTCTACTGAATTATTAACAGATCATTGTTTCAATATCGCTCCAGAGTCATAGTTGTCCCTTTATTTATAGATAAACAAGATAAAACAAATGTTAATTCATACAAAATATATGAAATTAATATCACGTAGACTTTTTTACTTTGAAATGTGAAACTGTAAGATGGGATAAGAGCGCTGTCATTTTGGCTGTTTTTTCTAGTCTTGTCTTCAGTGCTATAAAGTTAATCTTATAATGCCTGTGAGTACCAGTATATCTAAAGAAAGCTTTGTATATGTATCAGTAATAAATTAATATTTGATTTTAGAATTTCCCTACATTATTTGGGCAGCCTCTAGTATGTCTTCTATCTCCAGAACAAGTACCTACAACCATGCAAGGTAATGAGAATTTTCTCTTGTCAGTGTACATCTATACCTCTGCCCATTTTAGAGGATATCGTTGTTTTAAATTGGAAGCTTTCTTGCAAAGATATATTTGAATAATTTTACACAATAATGCACATGAATGGAAAGTAGTTTATTTTTTCATGAATTGTATATGATTAAAAATTTACCATAATAATAAAAAAAATCACAAAAAGATATATTTTTTTCATTTCAGATCAGCATCAAAAAGGAAATTTATTTACATTATTTTTACACAGTCCATTAATGGCCTTTTGTTATGTATGTAATATTATTGATATACCTATTACATTATGGGATAAATGTCAAACTCAGATAGACAAGTTTATGGCAGAGGCTAGTAAATTATTTGTTCGAGCCAGAAAACTAGGTAAGATATTTTGGCACTTTGTTGTTAATCTTTGGTACTCCGGTTTGCTTGATTGATTTGAGACATATTTTTTTTTTGTATATTAATCCTGGGTGTTCTGATTTGCATAGCATTTGGGGCTATCATTTGAAATTGTTTGTTGAAAGTGTACTTTGCAGCTTTTTGGTAGGCTTTTAATAGGTCAACCTCAAATCTGTTGCATTTTGATGTTCATTTTTAGTTGTCATTACTTAAAAGCCATGTATAGGCCATGCTTGAATTCAACTTGAGACGAAAATAATACTAAGATTTATGAGAGAAGCCCAGATAATAAATATGTGAGATACTCAGCCTTTGTTAATGTGTTGATGAGAAGCAATATAACGTAGCAAATTAGTTTTATATCAACTTTCCCTTTCAGATCATTCCTACATGCAGTTTTTTGGTGATGATTTTTTGAGATTACTATTATTACGTTTTGTATTTTGTTATATTGTTTTGATTTTACATCGCGGCTTTAAGGTAAGATATGATTTTGATCAGGCATTGATTAAAAAGAGAAGTTTTAACTGTATTTTTCAGTCATTATTGCTCGTGTTATTAACCAAGCATTTAGGCAATGTAAATAATAAAACTACAATAAATAATAATAATTTTTTTAGGCCTGAAGAAGCATTGTACATTGTGAGATAATTTGCATTATTATATGAAAAACTTGAAAGTAGAAGAGAGATTATGTGTTTTTATCTTTATCCAGTGATACTTGTATTTTCATGGTATATCTAATAGATTTTATGCAATTGTTAGCTAGCACCATAATATAAATCATATAAAACGTGAAATTTGATTTATGTTTCAGGGACCAAGTTATTATCCAGTGTCACACCCTTCGTTACCTACTGATGAAATCCTAGAGCATCCTAGTTTATATAAGATAGTCTTAGATCTAGCCAGTATTCTAGAGGTTAGAGGATTATTTGCTGAACCTGGAGAAGGAGATATTATCGCTTAATTTATTTATTTACTTTAGGCCAGATTCAATTGTTATTTCTAGTTATTATTAGATTTTTCATGCCCATTTCACTCAAATTCGGGTGTCAATTATAATCTTCCAAAAAGAATTTGCCAACTGATTTCTTTTGGTTTTTTATTTTACGCACAAACTGATATTGATGTACAACAATGTTAACATATATCTGGTTTGTATGTTTAAATGCTGATTATGACAAAGCACTCACATTTTACAAATTTGAAGAAGCCTTGACCTAAATATTAGCACATTCAATTTAGGAGAACTTCAATGGCAACTCTGAAATATGAAATTGTGCGAATGATACTTGACTTTTATTGAACCACATTCCTGATATAAATGAACGTATTCGAAAATTCATATGAAAGATTTGTGTCATCTAGAATGATAAGTTGCCAAAATTCACAAAGAATCTAAACTTAAAATTGTTGGGCAGAAAAGATAATTCAGTCTGGCCTTGTATAAAATGTATGGTGGATGGTCTAGGATAAAAACAGTTATTTGTTTAGTCAGACAATCAGAAAAAACTACATAAAGGCTGCCATATGCTTTTTACTATTTAGTAAAATTACCAAATGGGCCAGTTTCTGTTTCAGCACAGCTTTGTTTGGCAGCCAATTATCAAATGATATAGTATTAATTAGTATTCACCGTCCTGTCATTAGATCGTACATTGTAAGAAACGGAAATTACAATGTAGATTATCCACACCATTAACAGATGTTCTGAGAAGAATTCAACATTTTGATCATAAAGGGGTGTTGGGTAGAAACCCTATCTGTTTATTTTACAATTAGTGGCCAAGAGTCAACAGCAATTAAAAACTATGACCTATTGAAGGACATAGAACTTTGAACCATCAAGCATTGCTTTTTGATATAGGCTAAACACACGGGAGAATGCAGCATCCTGAATTCTTTATCTAAAACAATAACTGTAGTCCTAAATTAGCCACCATATATGTTTAAATGATCTCTTTTCTTAAAGAAACAGTGTTGTGATTAAATTTGTGTTATTTTATTTTAAACTTTGATAACTACAGCATTTTTATACTGCTTTTTAGTTTCTCAATGTACTTTTTCTGTATTTCCATTTTCCTTAATATTTCATCTATATGGTATTTATTTGATGTATAAGTAATTCTCACCTTCACCAAAAGAAAATTTTTTTTTGTCCACCTTTATAATTAATCATTTAAAAACTTTAAAAAACCTTAAATAAGGTTAGGGATGCATATTATTTATGGTGACAGATAATTTCAGATGTACTTGAGGGTATGAAAGGGTGCACAATATATTTACGAATATACAGTATATCTAATTACAGAATTTACATAGTACATATTACATAAGTTGTATATTGTAATGATACTGATTCGAACTTGATTCAACAAGAACTTTCAGAATCTTTAACAGTAATATAAACAAAGTGGATTTAACTGTCAAATTAGTTAGTGAGATTATTAATTCTCCATTGATTTATGCAAAAGATGAATTAATCATAATTGTAAAACATTAAGAATAGTTGACTGCTTTTATTTCACACGCTGTAGAGCTAAACATGTTCGATATTTGCTGGAAAGACTTTGTGAAATAAGCTTACATATGATACGAAAAAAATACCATCTTAATAATATATTTGGCTCTTATGAAAGTGTAAACTTTATGGACATTAAACAGCAACCAATCTATAGAATGACCCATAATCATATGTCAATAAACTTGCAATTGGTATCTTGATTATGTGCATAATATTATTTAAAAAACTGAAATCATTTGATATACATATATCAGAGTTTATTGAAATATCTGTGAAAATTGCTAATTATCATAATTCAGTATAATATTTTATTATTTTGTGCATAAATTCATCTTAAAGATCATGTAATGTTCTACTATTATGTGCATAAAAGTTGACAATTTAAAACTTAAAGCATGCTAAAATTTTATATTGATTGAATGTCTTTTTCTTTCTTGCCTTGTTCTTTATGACGCATAATATTTGTTTTTTTACTATTATATAATATAATAATGATATTCTACACTAAGGAGCTGACAAAGCTCATTCTATTTGGTATATTTTAAGCTTGCCTTCTATTAATGTTATATCTGTGTTCGTATTGTGAATTAGTGAGAATATTTGTTACAAGTGATTACATATCCAGATTTTACACTTATTAAATGGTCACAATTTCCTAATTATGAAAATATATTTTTCAGTAGACACAAATGTCAAGATATGATATGAGTTTGAATGCATTGGGTATAATATCTTCAATAGTCAAGCTATTACATACTAAGTGGAGCAATTTGATTGGATCATATGCTAGCAAATATAGTTTCCTTGACAGAAAGCCTGTAATCAATAGCCATAATACAGTCTTTCTGTCAAGGACACTGATTATCTGCATTCAGTAGTGTACAATCCAATCAAATTCCTTGATACAAGAAATGCAGTCATGGTAAAAGTTGAAGTTCATAATAGCTTGACATTGTGAAGATGGAGTTAAACTATTTAGCATATCATATGATGATAGGTTAACACAACTAACTGACATGTCATATGGATGTATTTTGTTTTATCTATGTCATATGACAGTATGAATAATTAACATAGATCTTATTGCCTGACAACTTATATTTTAGTCTAAATTATTTCAACTCCTGTTTACCCCCAACATCCTCCTACATGTTAGACATTGATGATCAGGAGAATTGGGATTTAATCTTTGAAGTTGGTCACAATTAAATATTACAATACGCATAAGAGAAGTTCAATAATAAGCCTACGTTTTTTCTGAAATCAAATATTATTATTTAAGGGATTGAAAGGAAGAAGAGCATCAATCTTCCTGATATTCCACAAAAATATACATTTGATAAAGCATATTTTGAAATGAGAGACGTCATCAAATACTGGCATGAACAATAGACATGACATCAATTATAATGGTGTTATTGTTGATTGTAGTATCTTTTCACAACAACTCGTCATAATGTTATTATATTTACCCAAAACCTTAGGGATTTACGAGAAACAAATGTCCATTGTTCATATCATTAGGTCAGTGCGTCTTAAATAGTTCATGTGTAACTGGCCTTGTATATGGCATTAATATTAATCCAGTTACAAATTCTTTATCGCTACACTTTTTAAATTACCCAGACACCTTAATGGAAATACTTCCAGGTCTATAATTAGTATTTAGAGGGATTGTAAAAAGGCTTCTAAAAATATTTATGTGTATCAGGGACACTCATAGCATTAATTTGGACATCTTTGGTTCTTGCAATTCCACTAAAACTAAGTGTTTGATGACTGCACTAATTGCAAATGGTCATATGTGATAAAGTAAAATTTTGTGATTAGTGACATAATCAAACACTTAGTTTTTGTGGAATTACAAGAACCACAGAAGTCTCACTGAAAATTGGAATGGTACAAATTGAAACTATCAGTGTCCCTGACACATATAAAAAATTCAGAAAATTCCATTTACAATCCCTTTAAAGTTGACTTATCGAATTCTTTATTTTATATGAGTATAGTATTTGAAATATCTTCCTCCTAATTATGGTGTGTGAATTAATTTGCTTTATTCTGATTTGAATATAAGATTCTTGATCATGTGACTGTTTTTTTTTTTTTTTTCTCCCAGAGAGAGACAGAAGTCTTATTCTTGAAAACTTAACTTAACAATGATTTTAGTGATCCAGTCATCTGATTGGTCAATTTCTAAATCGATTTTAAATTTAGTTGTTTAATCCAATCATATCACTGTATTTCTTAAAATCTGGATTTTATTTAATATAAGTTTTGTAGAAGGCCCCAGATGTTGATCAGACTCAAGCCAATCCAATCCACACAGGCAAAGCTGTTAAATTACCACATTTTCTTTCCTTTACATGTTTTTTAATTTCTCTTTTGTTTATTCATTATTTATTTTTTTGTTTATTAAGTTCACCTCAAACAATTATTCCAGCCAATTTATGTTTATTTTGTTATTTGTAGTAAATTTTGTTTTCTTAGTGTAATTTGTTAAATTTATAGTATAGTCATCCAATTGTTGCCTTTATGAGTTAGATGATAATTTTAGATAGCTGCATTACTTTTCAAAATGAATATTTTACATCTGTGGTGTCTTTACATCAGTAATTGAGAATGGCAACCTGAAGAATTTAGTTGTCAATTGAAAACAAACTAAAACTAAGTGTTTCAGGAAAACTCTTTAGAATCCCTATAAAGGAATATGTGGATGACTATATAGTATTTTGTTATTATTTTCAGTATTTTAATGACCTATTGTGATATTTTGTGTTTATTTTTTTCTGAGAAATAATATAAGTTATACAGAATTAGACCATGTTTTATTGCTATTCTAACTGATGGGGGGCTTGTGATTACAGACACCAACAATTTTTGGGGGAAATAAGGTTTATTTGAACTCCATATAGGTAATGTACAGTGAACAATCATAATTACTGAGGGTTACAGAAATTCTAGAAGCAAAGATCCAACAGAAACTGAAAAATTTCATTTTCTCAAATTCTGGTGGCGGCCAATTTGAAATCAACTAAGTTCTAAAAATAAGGTAGCCGATAAATTTCAAAGGTAATTTTTATACGCCCACATAAAATGGGGCGTTCTTGAAAACGCGTTCAATATTTAGCTCATATTCACTCTAGAAGGGACAATTCTTGACGGATTTTGACGAAACTTGGTTTGTGTGTTCGTAATCACGCAAGGATGAACTCTATTGAAAATCAGAAGAATCGAAAAATATTTAGTATGAGTTATTGCCCTTGTTCTTGAATACACGTACAATTTCTAGCTCATAAACACTCTAGAAGGGACAATTCTCGACGGATTATAACAAATTTGGGATGAGTGTTTGTTATCACCCAAGGATAAACCTATTGAAAATCAGAAAAATCGAAAAAAAATTTATTATGAGTTATTACCCTTGTTCTTGAAAACAATCT